AGGCCTCGGGCACCGCCGGGCCACGGGGCGGGCGGGAGCGGGCAGCGGCGGCGGGCCTGCCCTCTCCGGCCTGTCCTTCCCGGCCCGCTGCAGCGGGCCGAGCGGCTCCTCTCCCCCGCAGGCAGCCCAGAGCAGCCCTGCGGTAGCTGCTTTGAAAATGTTTTCTTTCGCTTCTGGTTCTTTCATTGTGTTGGTGGGACTTGCTGCTTCGGCTTCTCTTGGTGCAGCCCCCGAAGGTTTTTCTCGCGTTTCAGTTTGTGGCTGGGTTTCCATGGATGCAGTCGCCCCAGACCTTCTGTAGATGTGTCTGCTGTGCCTCCGCTAGTGTCAACACTTCTGGCAGCTCTTTACTCAACCTGCTAACTCCTTGTTTCTGTTTCTCTCCTGGGAAAACTTGCTCTTGAACACAGCTGAATTGTGAGCTTTAAGTTCAATCTGTTAGGCTGTGTCTTAGCAATAATAATTTACTTGTGTTTATAGAAGACAACTGACACACGCAGGGATCCCTCGACACTTGTTCATGCTTCAGTTCGACTCTATTACCCTGTCACATTTCTGTTTTCATCCCGATTTGACAGTTTATAGTCTTAATTTGTATTGTTAGCACTGAGTGGTGTGTAACTAGAGTTACTAGGGAAACAGATAAAATACAAAACCTAGTGAGATAGTTTTTCTTAGTACGTTTGTTTCTTTTCACCAGGGCTTTTAGGAAACTAATAGATTTCCTTCAGGGTGGTTCTTCGGAAGTGTGCAAGGGCCACAGTAGCTCAGTGAACGCATGCTTATATAACAATATATATGGTTGGTTTATTAGTGTGTATTCAGGAAAATAGGGATCAGAAAATGGAATTTAAATGGGAAAAGAATACTGAGTACGAGAAATCCTGGTTTTGAGAAGGAAAGCAATTAAGTGGAGTATTAAGTGATTGGATGAGCTGACTTTTCCCACTGGGACCACTGCCTTTGCTCACAGTGCTGGGTGCTTTTTTGTAGGTATATAACAAGCTGTTTATACCCACTTTATTGTGTTTGGTATTATCACGTGTTACCTACCACAGAACTCACTTTTCTGTTTCCCTACCCCTCCTTCCCATTCCACAAGTGAACCACTTGTGTGAGACAAGGCCTGTAAATAGTGACTTATGTAAGGACTTTGCTTCCTTCTCTGAAGCTTGTTAATTAGGGCAGCTGCTTTGGCAGTGGATTAGATGCTCATGGTAGGTCTGTGGAGTTAAAACCTCAGGCAGCATCCTTCTCCACCTCATTACCCTGCCACTATGCTCCATCTATGAAAACAAACAAATCTGCAGAATTACTTAGGGATCAGTGGAACAAAGGAGCTATTTAGTCTTCTGGCATATTGGTCTTTTTGAGAAAAGAAAAAGGGAGCAGAGTATAATGGACCTACAAAAGCAAGAGCTTTATTTACAGAAATAACCTCCGTTAATTTTATGGGGTTGACTGCAGATAACCTGATGATGAATCATCATCAGCTTGGAAGTGAACATCACTAATGTTGTTGGCATATAGCATAAGAACAGAGAGAATATTGTAGAAAATGAGCTGATTTTAAATGGTTACCATATGCTTACCATCAGGGCAATTGAAAATTCTCCCCGTCTGTTCTCTCCTCTAAGCTGCATTGCAAACACCACCACCTAAATTCACTGGAGGGCAGGGATGAAACGACATGTAACAGTTCTAAGTTATTCTTATGGTTTGGTGGTGATGTGTGATAACTCCACACACACCTTAGGAATCCAGGCTATTTGAACATAAGCAGCGGAGGTGGTTAATCGGGACTATCTATGAAGATGCTTCATCTTTCCTCTTTCTGTGCTTTGTTCATGCATATGCTTGGAGTGGTAGCATCTTGCTGGCTTTTCTTCTACATTCTTTTAGTTTAAATGGGTTTTTTTTCAGGACTTTAATATCCTGTGATCACAAAATTATTTGTGAAGAACAGGCAACTGACATAAAAAGGATGGAAAGATTAAAAGAAAATTTTTTCTTAGTTATGTGTGGATTCTATTTTATGGGGTTTTTTAATCACCTACTTCTGGAGTTAATTCTACATTGATCCTTGCTGAAATCCATCACTGAAACAGTTCTGTAGTGTTCATTTAAGCCTCTGGTGCTGGACAGTTGGCTGAACTGTACTGTTAATACCATGAGGAAGACAGCTTTCCACTGATCATAGCCTGAGCAGCAATTCAAGAGGAAACAAACTACATCAGCAGAACGGTCACCAATATTTTCTTGACAATGAAAGAAGGTGTGTTTTGCTACTTGTTCCCAGCCAAACTAGTTCCTTTCCCAAGCAGTATTGCTGAGAGAGGTTGAATCTTCAGCTTTTGACTAATAGGGCCCAATGCAGATCAGTAGGAGAAAGTTGTGCTCATTTCACTCTGACTGGTATAATGGGCTCCTGTCAACAGGGTAAAACAGAAGAACTTTTGGGGAAAAAAAGGGTCCTGGTAATGGGCTGCCTTGCCTGTATCTACCTGAGTTAGAGATGCAGTGTAATTAAAAAGAGGTCTGTAGAGTGCTGCAGATTCAACTTTCATGCTGTGTTTGTCTGCTTTGCATTTTTATTTTGCAGCAGTAGCTTGATCCTTTGATCTGAAAGCCCTTTTTTATTAAAGTGCATCTTCTGCTTTAGTTTCATCTCAAACAAGTCTAGTTTGGTGTATCCCAGTCATTTTGACAACCTGATTCTGTGCTTTAAGTCTGTGCTTTATGAAAGACCCGGCTGGTTCTCAAAGTAGCCAGTTTTACCTTGGGGTGTAAAATGCTATGTAGTTAAACATTTAGTCTGTAAGGAGATCCAGGTGGGAAATACATCTAGTTTATTGATGAAACAGGGAGGTCCGAAAAAGAGGAGGAATTAGCAAATGGAGTCTTCATTTCTGCAACTGCCCTAGACCAGTAGATTGCTGTCACACTTTAAAATTTCTTGCAGTATCCTAATCAAACTTAGATAACAAGTTCATGTTCATCTTACAGCTTAACATGGTTCATGAGCCACAGACTCAGAACGGCTGCTCAGAACTGTACTCTCCGTGTGTGAAATAGTCATTTGTCTGCAAACATCTGCAAGTATTTAAATGGTAGCTGTATTGTAATTTACATACTTACTAGACTTTTTTCATGAATATATGGAGTGTTGCAGGATTCAAAGTGCTGCTGTTGCCATTGGTTGATCATTTTACTTCAAGCTGTTCAGTGTAAGACTTTGTAAACTTAAGATAATTTGTACTGCTGTTGCTGAACTCAGGGATTACTAAGAATATTGGTGATTTTGCATCATGAAAAGATTGAAAGATTAATAAACAATCACATCTAGAATCTCTAATTTCACAAACTATTTTGTATGTTCAATGAAATTCAAAATGCGTGTTAGGATAGCTTTAGAAGCATTTTTTCATTCTGTAATTGTACAAATAGCAAATAATCATGCCTGTGTGAAATGAATTCTCTGTAGACTTGGGATTAATAATAGCTAAAATTCACGTTTTGATATTTCTTTGCTTTAGATAACTGATGCTCGTAAAACTTGAAAATGCTTGCCAAAAAATGTCAAGTTCTTATGGCACATAGAAACCTTAACTCTCATCTGAAATAATTTGTGTCTTGTGGCTGTAGTGATAATACTTGGATGTTCTTCCATGAAGGATGTTTGCAGTCCATGAGGTTAAGTTGTACCTTGTTTAATTGACTGCCCCACCTGATCTCAGTGTAGTGCTTGGTAAGATGTGTCTGACAGATAATTCACAGAAGTGGACAGAACATCACTGTGGGTTGTCTCTCGTCGGTGCACTTCACCTTAATTTCAGAACATACACCCCACTGTCGTTTCATCCTGTTACGTAAATCCTCTATTCTTAAACTTGGCCTTTAGGAGAAGTTCGAGTCTATCGCACGTCTTCTGTGCTGACATGATGCAATTGAGTCAATGCATATTCACATGAAAAATTATTGCCAAAAGGTTAATTACAGAAAAAAGGAAGTAATGCATTTGGGATATAGCAGTGTCCCAGACTTCATCCTTTTCTAAAATAACCTGTGCCTTATTTATGTAGTAGATTAATCACTGCTTCTTTGCCTTTGTGGTAACGAAGGTAATCCTTTCTATCTGCTTTTCTGAAAGACTGTTCTACTTCTGTTCAAGGACTTGTATGATTCAGAATCATCACTAATGTAACACTTTGGAAGTACAAGTGAGGGTTATGAATGTATTCTACTGTTGTAGAGCTGCCAGGAGCATGTCACGTAGCGTTTGATGTCATATTTGATGCCTGTCTTGAGTCGTACTGGTCTGGAATCAAATCCTTCACAGGGAGTTTAGTTTCAAAAAGCAGCATCTGCATTTATGAGAATATGAACAACATGAATTCTTAGTAACAAATTTCTAGGAACTGGAACAAAGATGTTCAGGGTTGAAGATTCTAGACTACAGAGATATTCTCTCTCAGCTGAGAATATCAAAAGGGGTTTGGTAATTTTTCTAAGCGCTTTGGGGAAAAAAAGTAGGTCAGATAATTCTCAGCCCTGTTGTAGGGAAAATATTCACTGTACTCTTGTTGAACTAATTTTTTTAATATAAAGGGAATGTTAGCATATTTGATGATATGCTAGCTGGTTTTAACAAAATGTTATCCATGCAGTAGGTAAATAATGAGAACACATGAAATATTGGTAGTGTGTATATCAATGAAATATTTCTGTGTGATTTAAACTTGAAGGAAAAATCAGATTGCTTTGCAGTACGCATATAGAAGTGATACCTCTAGATATTTTACAGGGTTGGGTTGCTGTGGTTGAGTTTAAAATAGTTTGAAAGTACAATCTTTTATTGTAACATTTTGCAGATACAGAGTTTTATGGGAGAAATGAAACTAATACCTACTTTTAAGGTGTATACAAGTGCACACACACGCTGCTCCTTTCACTTAATTTATTAACAAAACAAAAAAACCCCTTGAATTTTCTCAGGCATTCCTTTTTACTAGTGCTTTATGTTTCTATAGACATCTGCAGAGCAATTGAGTTGCTGGAAAAATTACAGAGAAGTGGAGAAGTGCCACCACAAAAGCTACAGGCATTGCAAAGGGTCCTTCAAAGTGAATTCTGTAATGCTGTAAGGGAGGTAAGTTAACTTGACGTAAGCAATTACCTTAAGTTAAAAACCAGTGTGTTTTATCTTTTCCTTTTTGTGCTCAGTGCAGTAATCCAATTTGTTTTTTTCTAAAAGCTGAATTTTATTTACAGAGCTTAATAGAACAAGGCCTATTTTTTAAAAGTTCAAAAGAAAATGATTTGGGCTAGCATAGGTGTATTAAATAATGGCTTAGGAGCAAATCACTTTTTAGAGGTTATTTTAAGTGTCTGTCCTTACTGGCAGCTAGCAGACTGCTGTCCTCTTGGAATGGTAAAATGGGTGAAGTACCAACTGCCTCTGTTTCTTTTAAGCCAAATCCACATCACCTTGCACACCACATGGTGGTGGAGCCTGGCACCTCACCTTCATTTCAGATACTCTTGGAGATTCTTAGGTGATTGAATATACCTTGCTATTGCTGTTGGTGCAACTATTGATAACATCTGGAATGATTTAAAAGATCTGTCTTAATGTTTTCAGCCTGTCAAGGACGGTGTGTTTATTGCCTAGCAAGTCCAAATGGTTGGTGGGTAGGTGTGAGGATGTGGGCTAACCCTCAGTGTAAGCACCTCCTTAGCATTAGTATTCTTAATTGCCTCTGTGTTTTCAATACTATTTTTTTTCTTAAGGTATTGAATTAATTGCATCAGTTGAAGGAAAAACGAGTTTTGCAGGGAGGTATGGGTTGTCAGGAGAGCTTTGAGGAGATGTGATTTTTTTTCATTCATCCTTATTGAAGAGTTGTAACTTGAATCAAACAAGAGAAGATGGTCATCTATGTCTCCAGTCAGGTGTGTTAGACAGCTATAATCATTCCTAAGTTCATGGTGAGATCTGAATGCTGTGGAAGGAGAGAAGATGTAGGCTGGGACCTAGATAGGCATGGATTAACTGAGCAGTAAAGATGCGAGAGGGTTGTTTCTTCAGAGTATGGTAAATTTTCACTTGACACCTTGTAGTGGATCAGGTAGTAACTTCTTATTACAGGTGTGTACATCTTAATTTGCACATTTTTCAGTTGTACCTGATATTTTTTAATATTATTTAAGCAGAAAAATACCTTTTTTTTCCAATACTTAAGCTTTTTTTTTCTCTAAAGGTATATGAACATGTATACGAAACTGTGGATATCAGCAGTAGCCCAGAAGTTAGAGCTAATGCAACAGCAAAGGTAAATGCCAAACTGTAACTTCTATAAAATACAGTAGTTTGTTATTTTAGAAGCAGAAGGTTATTTAAAGTTCAGAAGGATATTATCCAGACGTCTGACAAAATGGATAAGCTTAACAGGTTATTAAAAAGTAATAAAAGACTTGTTATTTTTAAGCTTCTTCCGATTTAATTTTATTCTTGGGTTTATAAATTTTTCATGCTAGTGTTGGTATCCAGGGAATTAATCTCATTTGTCTTAAATATTAAGTACTTTGAGATAAAAATACTTATTCAGTCTGCTCACTGTGTCTAGCTAAGGGGTCTATATTTAATTTCTTATAAATAGGAAAATGTTGTTTCTTACAGGCCACTGTAGCTGCATTTGCTGCTAGTGAAGGTCATTCCCATCCCAGAGTGGTTGAACTACCTAAAACCGAAGAAGGTCTTGGATTCAACATTATGGGAGGCAAAGAACAAAATTCTCCAATCTACATCTCTCGAATTATCCCTGGTGGTATAGCTGACAGACATGGGGGCCTGAAACGTGGAGACCAGCTGCTTTCTGTAAACGGAGTGGTAGGAATTGGTTTTCACTTTACGTAGCAGTAACTACTTGTTTCCACGTGGGGGCATACAAAGAATATACATGGCACAAGCTCGATGTCGTCTTTTAATCTTGGCAGAATAGTTTCTTTTTGTCCTTACCAGAACAACTTCTTTAGGTTTCTATAGAGTTGTGTTCATTGAGAGTTCTAGGATTATGCTTTGGTTATCTATCTCAGGTGGGAACTGTACTACTTATGTCAGTGTTTCAGGTTCTGAGGTGTTGTATACATTTAGTCAAAGTATTATTTTGTGAAATAGTAACTGCCGTTATGGCTTCCTCTTTCATCCAAGTGTCATGATGCAGATTTTAATTAATGGAGTTCTCTGCACCTTCTAAGGTAAGTAGTAAATTATGCTATGTTGTGTTAGACTGAGCAGATTCTCATTATCCCAGTAAAACGTACTGCATAATGGAAGCTGTAATAAGATGGAACTACAAGGTGGTGTTACCTTTAGTTGTGTGGTAGGTTGTTTTCCTTCCACTTAAGTGTACTGGGCTTCAAAACCACAGGCTTTTTAGCATATTTTAAGGAGCATGTCTCAAGTGCTGTTGTGGATATTTATTTTTAATAAGTATCCTTTTTCTGAAGAGTTCCAATACAAAAAGCAAAACACAGGTGACTGCAAAGAGGAGACTATTGACTTAAGGCAGCTGCTACTCAAATGCATGCAAATATCTCTCAAACCCTTTTATTTACAATGAAGCTGTATGCCATCTTAAAATTAGTGCTTTCATCATTACATCTGCAAACTCAATTTTATTTTAAGACTGAGGGTTGAACTGAATTCTGTGCTCTCTAACACAAGTGGGTGCATTTGACACATGAAAGAAATAGAGACTGAGTGTCTGTCCTCTGGGAGGTCCCTGCTAGCACAGATCTCTGACATAATTGGCTCCTGACTATTACCTGAGAGTCCTGCTGTCCTTTTCAGGAGATGTTAAGAGAAGTTCTGGCTGTAGTGACACAGCTGTTGTCGGCCTAGCCTTCCTGTTGTTTTGAAACATTGAGGGACAAGCGTAGAACTGTCTTCATATGAGGCCTTCCTCACCCACAGACCCTCTTACAGAAAACAGAACCACCACTCCACCCAAAACTGAACCTGATCATCAGCCAGTTGGTACAGCTAATGACTCTGTGTGTGTACACACGTATGAATGTGTCTAGCTGTTGTAAGCATACAGTGAGTGTATAAAATACTGTTGAGAATGCTAATGTGGTCTCAGAAGGATCATCATATTCTGATGTTTACAGAGGAATCCTGTCATCTTAATACATAGGATAGGCATTTTAACTGTAATTTCTAATTTAACAATGATAATAATTTCTAAAAAAATTGCCACTACCAAGACTGCAGTTAATGTGCCTTCAAACGAGTTTTTTTCAGCTGGGAGGTTTTGAGTGTACTCCAGGATTTTAGGTGTTTTGGTATAATTAGTCATAGAACTTTACAAACCTTTTATTACCAGTTTGAAACAGAACAGCCTACACATCCACTTGAATAACAAAAATAAAACCATTCAAATATATGTGTTGTCTAAGTCTGATAGAAGAGAAATAACTGTTGTCTTTCTTTCTGTAAGTAACTTTATAGTAATGGGGAAACCCTCCAATCAACAGGTACATCACCTGCCTTCTAGCTTCTAATAGCACCAGTGGGAGGTAGGCTTGGGGTAGTCCCATCATTGTGTTTAATAAGTTTGGGAGAAATAAGTTTTGCTGGTAAAATATGTGCTGTCCAGGAATGTGGATTTGGATGAGGTTGTTGAGAACTGTTGCTTAAAATTTGTAATTAGATGAATCTAACATAACCCTAATAAATCCTGAGAGTCATTTTAGGAAAGTATTTTTATTCTGTTCTTACTGAGTTGGGTTAGGCTATTTTAATCAGTTTAGAGGACATTAACTTGCATACCTTGCATTTACTGAGAGACTTGTGGAACACTAAGGTAAGCAACACATCGCATGCTAGCTGCTCTGTTGCAGGTGCCCAGTATGCACTGTCTTTCCTTGTTATAACACAGGATAACATCAAGAACGCAGCTATCTTGCAGTTGTCTGTGGCAACTTACTAGGCAAATTGCGGGTGACTGCTGAATTTAAATTGCGTGCCAAAAGAAGAAAAACAATCCTGAATTTTAAATGTATCCTCCTGAAGTTGTTGTTCTTTAGGTGTAATTTGATAATTGCCTCATGTTATCCTTATTTCACTTACTATATGAGAATACAGAATTTAATTGTTCAGCATAAACCTAACCAAAAGTTTTGCACCACTCTGTCATTGATACTAATTAGTATATCTATCATCACCTCTCATTGATTTGCTTAAGAATAAATCCTGAACTTGGGTGACATCCTTGTGCCATCGTAGAATACTTCAATATTTGATTATATAGAAGGTGTACAAAAAAATAATTTTAAAAAAATCTGTTTTCAGTGTGTGTCTTGACTAATATTATACTTAATGGTTTATGCTTTGCAGAGTGTCGAAGGGGAACACCATGAAAAAGCAGTAGAACTGCTGAAGGCAGCTCAAGGAAAGGTTAAATTAGTTGTGCGTTATACACCAAAGGTCCTGGAAGAAATGGAGTCGAGATTTGAAAAAATGAGATCGGCAAAACGCAGGCAGCAAAATTAACATTGTTTGCAATAACTCAAAAGAGAAAATATATTCCATTTACATTTTATAGTTTGCTTTGTGACTCAGTTGATCCAGTGCCTGGGCTACAGAAGACACTGTCCTGTTCATAGAATCGCAGAATGATTGAGGTCAGAGGGACTCGTGGTAGAGATCATCTGGTCCAACCCCCCTGCTCAGAGGAGGGTTTGCTAGAGCAGGTTGCTCAGGACGCTGACAGGCTGGGCTTTTACATATCTCCAAGGATGGAGGCTCCAGAAGATCTCTGGGCAGCCTGTTCTAGTGTTTTGATCTCCCTCGCACTACGAAGATCTATTCTTATGTTTAAATGGAGCTTCCTGTATTTTTGTTTGTGCCCATTGCCTCTTGCCCAGTCACTGGATGCTACTGAGAAGAGTCTGGCTCTTTTTTTACTCCTCCCTATCAGGCATTTACACACGTTGGTAAGATCAGCCCTGAGCCTTCTCTTCTCCAGGCTAGACAATCCCAGTTCTCTTAGCTTCTTCTCTGTCAGACGCCCCAATCGTTTAATCACGTTTGTGGCCCTTCACCCAACTTGCTCTTGTATGCCCATGTCTGTATGGAACTGGGGAGCCCACAGCTGAGCCCAGCACTTGAGTTGTGTCTCACCAGGGCTGAGCAGAGGGGAAGAATCGCCTCCCTCACCTTCCTGATGCAGACCCGGAGATGCGCAAGGGCACGCAGTGGCTTGTGGTCAGCTCGGTATCATTCTGCCCAAGGCTGCTCTGCAGCTGCTCGGCTCCCCAGCCTGTAACTGGTGCATGGGGTTATTCCTCCCCAGGTGTAGAACTTTGCACTTTCCTTTGCTGAACTTCGGGATTCTTGTTTTCCCGTTTCTCTAGCCTGCTGAGGTCCCCTTGAGGAGCTCGCTGAGAGCGTGCTCTGTCCCCTCGCCCGTGGTGTTAATGTTGAGCAGCGCAGACCCCAGGACAGGCCCCTGGGGTGCTGCAGTAGTGACTGGTACCCACCAGGACTTCGTGCCTCTGAGCACAACACCCCTCGGCAGTGCAGACATTTTTAGAATGTTTTCGGTCTCCATATGTTTCACAGTTTAAGAGGAATGTGTACTTTTAAAATAGTCTAAGATACCCTGAAAAAGCATGTATTTTGATATTTCTATTGATTTTTTTTATAAGTCTCCTTCATGTCAGACCTGTAAGCATGAAAGTGATTTTACAGATTTTTTCAAAGGCATTTAATAAGTCATATTTGTACAGTTGGCATCCCTTTTTTCTTTTGGCATTATCTTACATAGAATCTGCAGGTTTTTTTGCTAAATGATTTTGGAAAAAAAAAAAAAGATTCTTATGTAGCAGTATTTTGGCACTTTTCTTAAGAATATGTTGTATATCAACTACAAAACCTAATCATGATCTACTGTGTAGCTGATGATACCAGATTTTGTAATGTTTTGGTGACTACATTATTTTTACACTTCTGCTAAATTGTAATTCGTTACTCTGGAAATTGTATTACCTCGCCTGTAAATAATTTACAGTTGGCGTTGTCATATAATGATTTTGTAATAGCTGACATTTACAAATTTGCAACGATCATTCCTGTAACTTATATTATTTTGTACTAATTTTAAAGCAGTTAAGGGGAAAAATGTAATTGTGTATGCAGTTCTGGATTGACTCTCTAGATGTATTTTTATATTCAGAAACAGAAGATATATTAATGCAGTGCAAAGGAATTCCAGATGTTTCCCTGACTTTCTGCTGTTTAAAAGAAATATTCATCTTAATTGTCATACCTCTTTTGCATTTTTAGTACGTTCTCTTGTAGTCATATCTACAGACTGACTGTATTGATCTTGGAATAGTTGGTACCTAAATTATTGATGATTACTTTTATAAGAGTAAAATGTTCTAAGGCTTATATGCCAGGTTACCATGACATGTGAACTTGTCTGGGGGTTTATTACTGACTGCTTCTGTCTTGGAGGATTCTTGTTTGTACTACAGAAGTACTACGTCATCACCATTGCTGTAAAACTTTATGTGGAATGGTGCTCTGGTGGTAATATGGAAATCTCCAGCTATAAGCAGTGATTAATGTCTTATCTCGAGCATGGTTGATGGTGGCATAGTTTTTACTGTGCCATTTTGAAGAAAATTTCTGGACAGAGGTCTGCTTCTTAGCATCTACCAGGTTTGAGGCTGTACTTGTGTAGTTTAGGTTTCGGGGTGGGTGG